CCCTGGGGGCTGGGCCGCCCTCCCCGGAGGCGGCCGCCCGCCCGGCTGCACAGGGCGAGGCGCAGCTGTGGAGGATGGACGCCCTGCACGCGCCGAGCCAGGGCCATGCGCTGCTCTGGGCGGGGGGACATGTCTGGTCGCGTTGAATATTGCCGAGGAGACGTTCACAGCTTCTGAGCCACCCAGCTCACAGCCGTGACGTCGGCTGAAAAGTGTTAGCAGGCACGACAGGGTTCGTTTCGTCTTTCAAAGCTTTGCTCTGCAGCAGGCAGAAATGTTTACTGAGTTAAAAAAGTCTGGATTCTCCTTAAGTTACTGCATGTTGGTAACTACTGCTGCAAGAAAAACTGCTACTTTTGCAAGACCCATGCCAGAACTGCAAAAGCTGCTAATGCTGACTAAAGCAAATGATAAGTTAACTAGTGAAACGTTGCAGTACAGCAGCCGCCTCCGTCTCCAGTGAATAGATTTTTCTTTGTTCTAACTCCCTATTAGTGGTAGCTGTCCAAACACACAGTATTTTGCCAACACTACCGTCTGATAAGCAGAATCTCGCGGCTGCTGCTTAGTAGTGTTTTGTGTGATATCTGATTCAACTCTCTGACAGACCTTTTTTTTCTTTGTTAATACTTCAGCAAGTGTCTAGGAGCCTTGATACAGATGCTAGCAACACCATCTGCTAATGCATAATAGATGGCAAGTGACTCAGTTGCAGCCTGTAATTAACTACACGGGAACTCAAATTTGGTAGCAGAACACCCTTGAGCCTAGCTGACAGAGAAATAACGAGACACAAAATCTGAAACTAGACAAATACAGTTTAGAAATAAGAGCCATAGTTTGAAGAGTGAGGGCAATTAAATGCTGCGATCGCTTACCAAATGTTATGAAGGGTTCTTTATTCTCTAAAATTTTATAACGAAGACTGCTATTTTTCCCCTAAAAGTTAAGCTTTAGTTCAGAGATTAATTTTCTCAGGGACCTTCTATAACCCATAGAGAATGATCCAAAGTAGGTCATACTAGAAGATCATAGTGATTCTTTCTGGCTTTGTAAGGGAACCCTCCACCTCTGCCTGCTTAAATAGTCACAAAGTATGCTGCAGGTAACTTTTACTTTTCAACAGTTTTTCTAAAGCCACAGGAAATAACCACATTTGGCTTTAAAAATTTGTGTAGGACCAGGGCACCTCCACACAGATGAAGAATTAGGAATTAATCTCATGGGACCTTAGATAAGTCTAAGGTCGTTAGTATAATTGCCAGAAAAAGTATGTTTTCTGTTACTTTGTTTCTGTAAAACACTGCCATACAGTGTTTTGAACTTATTTTAACTCCAGATAGACATGGCTCTGTCTTGAGCAGAGGCTGAGGTCTTTGGGGATCCAGAAAGGGAGGCAGCAATACCGTAACTGATAATCATACACCTGTGTAAAATGTATAAAGTTCATGGAACTGCGGAAGTTATTAGGTTCAAATCTGTCATTTGCTTGGGTTTCTTTTTAGCAATGTCTGTGTGTTTTCACAGACGTGGAAAAGCAGAAGTGGCAGTGATATTCCACTGCCTATTCCATTTCCTTAATCTGAACCAGTCACTCAAGCAGGCAAAATAGAAAGGAAGGTTTTTAGCAGAAATTGTACAACAAAATGTAGAGAGTCGGAGAGTAGTTTATCACACAAGAGTGTATTCTTTATTCTTTAACATTTCTTATTCACTGTTTGAAGAGAACATTTTTACTATTATGTTTGGTTTTTAATACATGAACGTCACTATTTGCACAGTTATTAGCATAGATAGTTGGCACTGTTCCAAGGAAGTTTTTTGCAGAGGAAG